TTTTTTTTTTCCCAAATAATAGAGAGACACAATCACTGACAAAACGACCAGGACAAGTTCTTACAAGGTCACAGAGGCAGCCTCCTCACTCAAGAGCCAGGCAGGTAATGTGGCCAGAGCTCCTTCCTGACTGCTTCTGGGTACCTGGGCTGGGCTAGGTGGGTGAACAGGGTGGCCCAGTGAGGGGTGGGCTGAGAGTGTGGAGAGGAAGGAGAGCAGGGTGGGAAAGGACCTACAATTAAGCTAGAACCCAAGCAGTTGGAAATAAGCTGTTTTAATATGTAAGTTTCAAGGATTTGGCTAAATTTTATTGACGTTTTCTACTGATTTTTACTCGGCTCTGTTGTTTTCAATTTAAAATTTTACTAGAGAAGTGATTTAAACTAGAAAATTTTAAGTTCCTTACTTGATAGTGCCTGTTGTTGCTATAAATTCTACCATTCTTCTGTATCCTGATTCCCTGTATAGTGGCAAGTGACGACTAGTTACTTCTCTTTCATACATCAAAGAAACTAAAAATATTTATGAAAATAACTATCAGGCAGTGCCTGTGGCTCAGTGGGTGAGGCACCGGCCCCATACACTGAGGGTGGTGGGTTCAAACCCGGCTCCGGCCAAACTGCAACAAAAAGAATAGCCGGGCATTATGGTAGGTGCCTGTAATCCCAGCTACCTGGGAGGCTGAGGCAGGAGAATCACCTAGGCCCAAGAGCTGGAGGTTGCTGTGAGCTGTGTGATGCCATGGCACTCTATTGAGGTCAATAAAGTGAGGCTCTGTTTCTACCAAAAAAAAGAAAGAAAGAAAATAACTATCAAAACAGTAAAAGGGTAATCATACTCTGTTTTAGTCATCTTTTTGAAATACTGTGTGATAGTTTATAAAGGCTTACCATCGCTGACACTTAATTATCGAGGAAAACAAAACAAGTGCAGATTGGGGATGGCTTTTTTTTTTCTTTGAGACAGAATCTTATTTTGTTACCTTCGGTAGAGTGCTATGCCATCATAGCTCACAGCAGCCTGAAACTCTTGGGCTCAAGTGATCCTCTTGCCTCAGCCTCATGAGTAGCTGGGAATACAGGTGCCTGCCACAATGCCTGACTATTTTTTAGAGATGGGGTCTCACTCTTGCTCAAGCTGGTCTCAAATTCCTGAGTTTAGGCAATCCGCCTGTCTCCAGCCTCCCAGACTGCTAGGATTGCAGGTGTGAGCCACTGTGCCCAGCACTTGGGATGGCACTTCTTATCTATTTGCATGAGGTGCTGTACTGGTGGGATTTTTATTATTTATTTATTTATGTACTTTTATTAAAGTGACAATGTCACTCTGTCACCCAGGCTAGAATGTAGCAGTGTGGTCATAGCTCACTGCAGCCTCAAACTCCTGGGCTCAAGTGTGCTTCTCACTTCCCACTCTTGAGTAGCTGAGGCTACAGAGTGTACCCCAGCACATGGCTGCTGTACTTTTATAAAATCAGTTAAAGTAGCTGTATGAGATGGTACATGCCTGTAGTCCCAACTAGTTGAGAGGCTGAAGCAGGAAGATTGCTTGAGCCCAGGAATTTGAGACCGGCTGGGCAATATAGAGAGATCTTGTCTCTTTAATAGAATCAGCCAATCAGTTAAACAGACTGTTAAAAAAAAAAAAAAAGACATTTGTGAGCAATTGGAAATTTGAATGCTGACTAGATCTTTGATGGTATAAACAGATGGTTACCTGTAAGTATAACAGTGATATTGTGGTTATATTTAAACTATATTTTAAAGATTTGTACTCGGCTCGGTGCCTGTGGCTCAAGTGGCTAAGGCGCCAGCCACATACACCTAAGGTGGCAGGTTTGAATCCCCAGCCCAGGCCCGCCAAAAACAATGATGGCTGCAACCAAAAAAAATGGCC